AAGGATGGCCCCCATCTGACCAATGGGGAACCGGCAAGAGCTAAGGCAGGGGACCTTTTAAACAAAGCAGCGTGTCTTTGCTCGAGTGCCAGCGGCCGAGGGACTTTTTTTGTGGGTTTTTTAAAAAACCAGAAATTGGCACCTAACAGTGAAGTTGGCTGAATCTGATGATGCTGGAACCGGTGTTCCCTCTAAGCTGAGTTAGTGTGAGCTAGCTCACAGTTTTTTAGCCTCCGGCTCACACATTTTTGTCTTCGCTCAGGAAGGATGGCTGCAGAGCAAACTAGTTTATGCAGTAGGCCAAATTGCTCGCTCACAACTCTAATGCCAGGAGCTCACAAAGTAGAAGTTTTGCTCACAAGACTCCACAGCTTAGAGGGATCGTTGACTGGAACTGCGAATGGGCAATACAGACCATTCTACAAATCTGAAAACTGCCCCAGGTTTGCAGAAAAATGTGAAATTAAAAAAGCAACATTGGGGTATTTAAAGTTTGCAGAAAAATCTGAAATTAAAAACAACAACATTGGGGTATTTGAAACACACACACGCACCCAAAAATATAAAAAGAGTACATGTAGCTTTAAGTAAGGGATTCCCTCAGCGACCGTTGCTAGGCAACCACAGATTCTATGCTTGGTTCTGTCAGTAAAAGACAGGGGGGCAGGGCCCTTTCCAGGCCTATTTTAGCTTTTGAAGGAGGACTCATTGGGGCCAGGCCTGGCTAGGGTTGCCAGTTCTGGGCTAGGAAATTCCTGGAGATATTGTGGTGGAGTCTGAGGAATGCAGGGTTTGAGGGGGGGAGAAGCCTCATCATAGTAAAATGCCACAGAGTCCACCTTGCAAAGCAGCCATTTTCTCCAGGGAGAGAGTTGTAATTCTGAGAGATCTCCAGGTTCTACCTGGAGGATGGCGAATCAAGGCCTGGCAGCAACCTCTGGGTGACTTGATACCACTCTACTTGCATGACTCAACTAGGCCTGGCTGCATGCTATTGTTCAACAGCAGCCAGTACATGAAAGCCAGTGTGGTATAGCGTTTGGAGCTTCAGCATAGGGCTTGAGAGACCCAGGTTCAAATCCCCGTCTTCCATATGGAAGCTCACTGGGTGATTTTAGGGTTGTTGTGAGGTAGGTTTGCCAACCTTCAAGTGACGGCTGGAGATCTCCCCTATTACAATTGATCTCCAGGAAACAGATCACCTGGAGAAAACATTCACTTTGGAAAGTGGACTCTGGCATTATACCCCATTGAAGTACCTCACTCCCCAAACCCCACCCTCCTCAGGTGCTACCCCCCAAAAAAAATCTCCAGGTATTTCCCAACCCTGAGCTGGCAATCCTATTGTGAGGATCAAAAAGAAGGAGAGGAGAATCATGTCAGCTGCTTTGGTCCCCACTGTGGAGAAAGGTGGGGTATAAATGAAGTAAATAAATAATAAATATAGCTGAAGATGGGAGGCAGATAAAAGGTAGGTTGGTGAATGGCTGAGAAGGCGAGAATGAGGCAGGGAAAGGGGAGAGGATATAGGGGTTACCAGGAGGAAGGAAGAGGAAGTAGTGTGGGGATAGGGATTCAGGGAAAGTGAGGTACCCCCCACAGGTCCTTGAAGATTTCCTGCCATGCAAATGGCCCTAGCCTAGTGGCCAGCACCACACTACTGGGCCATAGTTTTCCTAGGTAGGGGCTGCTGGCGGGGGGGTGGGGGGGAGGATAGCTGAAGACAGAGGGGCAGATAAATGAAGGTTGGCTGTTGGGTGGGAAGGAGAGAAGGAAAGAGGAAATAGGGAGCAAGGGGGAAATGGGATGCCTCCTGCAAGTCCTTCTGGGTTCCTGCTTGTATTCATATAATGGTACATCAGTATGTCCATTATCAGGTTTTTTTTAAACCTTGGAAATAGTTCCCTGTATTATGGTGGGAGTGGAGAATGGCCACTATGGGAACTAAGGCAGGGAAAATGCAAGGAAGGAAAAGCTGTCCTCTGGAAGCCCCATTGCCACTCCATTGCCATGTGGAAAAGCAAATGAGGCAAATAAGAATTTTGGAAAGAAGAAATGCTAACTGGGTACAACTGAGGAGAAAGGAGATTATGGGAGTTTCTCTTTACACTAGAAATGTCTTTATTTGCATCACAATGGAGCCAAAGATCTGTGAATGGAAGGAAAGTACCTGCTAGTGCTGTTTTAGAAACAGTTGTGCAAGAGTTAATCACATCAAAATACTCTTGTTTTTTAATATGTCCTCAAAGGCATTCAATATGGGCCAGTCTTAGACTCCTGAACTAGAAAACTGTTGATCTAAGTCCATTTTTTAATTAAGCAAGAAAAATGTTAATTGGATTTTAGAAAAAATAAATGCTTCACATTGAAACTTAGGCCCTGTGAAAACGTGAAAGGACAGCATTGGGAGAGACTACAACAGGATATAACAACTTCACCCATTTCCTTTTTCATCAGCTTCATATTAACGGTCTCTAAATTTGAAAAGCAGTCATCCTATCTTAGCACATTCAGTATGTTATGTACCCAGCAAGACCGCACACGTGGTAGTGCCGAACACATGGCCATGCGAAGGGCCCAAGCTTCGCTTCCAAAGACAATAGCCCAAATGTATCCTAGCGTGCACCTATCGGACGGCTAGGATCCAAGGAGGGACCTATGGGACTGGGGGACAGTGTAAATAGCCTATCACAGTTGTGGGTGCGTGTTTGGGGTGGGGTTTGCTATGGGGATATAAGCCGGCCTCGGGCCAGACTAAGTATCTCAAGTTATCCTGTACATAATAAAGTATGAGCTGAAATCACTTCTACATGCACTCAGTACTATATACAGTACTTTATACTCACTCAGTACTTTATACTCACTCAGTACTTTATACAGTAGAATCATATGTGGAAAAGCCATTACCCTAGCTGTCCCTTGCCATTCAATTTCAGCACACATGTTAACAAGTAAACTGCAGTAAAGTTCATTAATTATATTCAGTGTATTTTAAAGTTTTAAACATTTTCACTCTATAGTGTGCTGTGTACAATGTATTTTGCTAGACTTGGAACAGAGCTTTGGTGGGCACCAGAATCTTGCATCACAACTAAAAATTCTGATCTGCTCATAGATGTTAGCAGTTGTTGCCTACATACTGTGTCTCCTGTATTTCTTGCTAACAACTACACAAATATGTTTTACAGAATACTGACTACTGTATCCAATAGCAGTTTCTAGGCCACCATCATGGAAAAAACCCTACCTTGAATTGATAGACATAACGTTTCTATTTTTTTTAAAAAAGTAAAAATAAAAGATAAAAGCCATGCAAATAGAGTTGATACTGCAGGGAAGGGCCAGTTCCAGGTTTTTGGGGAACCTGGGCAGAGGGTGCCCAAGCCACTCCATACCCATATTAGGCCTCCCTTCTTACCTACGCCTATATGTGTTCCTGTAATCACAGCTTTCCACACTGCCTGCATGCCCATTTCCTTATGGTGCTGGGTGGCAGGTGCAGCAAAAGTGCCTCTATGATGCCCAGGAATGTACACTGTCTACACTTCTCCAACAGTGCTAGGCAGCATATGCAGCTGGGAGAACAGGTAACAACACACTGAGAAACAGGCAGTGGAAAGGTATGAGTGCAGGCATCAGAGGAGATGTGTTAGTAGGGAAGTCAGCAGTCATGGGCCTTGCCAGAATTCATGGGGCCTGGCAGCTGATGCCAGCCCTGCTGCAGGACTGCAATCTTGGCCTTCAACAGCAGTACCAGTAATATCACAATAACAAATATTAAATCATTTTATAGATTCAGATATTGGTAGTAGTACTTTGTCCGATCACGCATGGGTATTGGGCAATTATAATAAACAGAAAAATGATGGCAAAGGACCTACTAAAATAAAAGAATATTTTCAGTTTAATGCAACAGGAGAAGTTTCACAGGAATTTGTCTGGGATGCATTTAAAGCGGTGATAAGAGGTCACTTAATCTCCATTTCATCCTCATGTAAGAGACAGATACAAAAATTAATAAATGAGATACAAAATTCCATAAAGGAACTTGAAATTAAGCATATGAAATATGGTGGAAAGAAATACCTGAAAAAGTTAACACAAGAACGTAAAAAACTTGACCTTTTATAAACTTCTAGGATTCAAAAGAATTTACTAATATTAAAACAAAAATATGT